TCAAGGATGAGATTTTAGTTGCCACCACATTTTTCCATGTGGATTGAAAGTCATATTTCATAGATAATAAGGCAAAGTCAAGGGGAAAGGGGGAAGGACAAAGATAGCTTGGGCCAGTGGTTGAGCATGATTACTCATATTCTAGTCTCCTTTGTCATGAGGCTTTGTCTCCAATTTCAAGGTGGCATTAGAAACATTTTGGGATTTGACATTTTGGGCCAGTCTTAGTAATTTGGACTGAAAAAGTTTTAATGGTGCAAAATTGGAGAAGAGGCCCAGCTGGACAATGTTGGTTTGGCTTATAGTAATTTGCAGGTGTATAGTGGCCAACTCTTGACTTGAGGAATTTGAGGATGACAGATGAACTCCTCTGTGCATTTTCTGCAACTTGGTCTCGGTTGTTTCTTTCTGTTGGTAGAATATGGGACCACTCCCAGATATTTGAAACACAATCTTGTGGTCATCTATCTTTGAGGAGTGCCTTTGGAAAATACCATGGTTTTTAATTTTTTGAAAATTGAATACTACCTGGTCTTCCTTTCAACACTGTGTTATTGAAGGACAATAGATCTTATTGAAAGTATTGTTGTATTGTCTGAATATAGTAAAACAGTACATTGGAACAGTAAAACTTCCAGCAAGTTTTGAGGTGTGAAAGTTCATGTTGAGGAGATGGCTCATCATGGAGTTCATATAGAAATTGAATAAAAGGGAGGAAGGAATATGCAGGCTTGCTTGAAACCTTCCTCGGTTCGAATGGCACTGGTGAGATGGCCTCTTAGTTTGAGTGAAGTCCCTTCATGGAGCACACCAGTGGTGAGTTGCCCCCGGTTCAGAACCAGTAGTAAAACCGGCGGGAGATCCCACCCACTGTCCCAGATGTCATCATCAGCAATCTGCGCATGTGCAGAAGCAAGATGTGCAAGCCCGTTGCAAACCGGTAGTAAAGGTAAGTAGAACCCACCCCTGGAGCACACATATTAAATGAAGCAGGCATCAGGCAGTTGGACGGGCTCCAGTTTTCTCTACAACTTACCTAGGGATATGGAGTCAAAAACTGAAAAAGCAACATATAAGGAGGTTGTATTGGAGGAGGAATATTTTTCAATGAGAAAGTGAAGATGTAAAGCAGATGCACTATGAGCCAGGGGCTAGGTGGGTAATTTTTGCAGTGCAGTAGTTTCTCCCACTGGAGGAGTAGGGGTATCATCGACTTCCCTTCTCTGCCATCAGTTTATCTGCCAAGCCTCACTTTTTGTGACAGGGCAGGAGAGTATATGTTCTAGGAAAGAGACCAAAAGAAAGAGCAGCATGAGCAGCAAAATTGTGGGTTCACTGACAAGCAGGGATCCCAACTCTTTAGCAAGGGGAGGGGCATCCTTTGGCTTGTTCAGTGAGAGATTTAAGGAGAGTCAGGTTCCTGCAGGGCCAAGAGAGTCTGCTGAAATTTGGAAGTAGATGAAGGACTTAGATACCTCTAGTTTGGATTTCTATATAGTCTTTGGCTGAAGATTGTTTCTTTGAGGCAGTTTTATTGAGACAGTTTCTCTTGGGGATCCTTGACAATTGCTGGAGTGCTGAGTCACTGCCAGGGTCACTGTTATTGGTGAGGAGGTCAGAGGAGGCTGCTGATGATTTTCTCTGTGTGCCTGAGTCAAAGGAGAGGCTGAGATATGAGATGATTTAGATGAGCATCTCAATGGGGCAGATGTGTTACGTAAGTTGGTACTGGCCTTGCATTTCACTACCAACTCTGGGAAGCTATGTCAGAGTTGTATTGATGTCTGCTAATTTTCTTCCTCAGCTTAATGAATCCTGTATTCATATATTTAGCTTCCTCACTTGGAGTTTGCTTAGCCCCCTTGCTCTTGGCAAGTCTGGTTATTTTACTATTTTGAAGCATGTGTTTTTATGGCTCTTATCCAGGTCATGACCAGATGTCACTTTCCTAGTGATGAAGTCACGGACTAACTCTTCCTTTAAAATTCTGACAGTTTGGATATGATGTGTCTGCCAGAGAAATTCGCTCATTTGCGAGTCAGGTGGGAAATGGAATATGAACTTAGCATTTCATGAACTGGGTAACCAGTGAAACGCTTTCGAATGAATTGTCCTATTTTGACAATTTAGGAGCCAAGATAGGGAGGCACAATAATCTTGAGGCTGTTGCATCTATGGGCATTCCAGTGGATTTTTAATTGTTTTTTTCTGTAGCACACAGCGATGTTTGGGTGCTTCAGGATGCCCTGTTGACATAGGACAGGCTGCTAGAATTTTTTTTTTTTAATTTGATTTATATGCCGCCCTTCTCCGGAGACTCAGGGTGGCTTACAGTGCGTTAAGCAATAGCCTTCATACTTTTGTATATTTATACAAAGTCAGCTTATTGCCCCCACAAACTGGGTCCTCAATTTACCTACCTTAGAAAGGATGGAAGGCTGAGTCAACCTTGAGCCTGGCAAGATTCGAACTTACTTACTTACTGTTAAATTACAGTGCCTTGTCTGCAGAGCTATCCAGGGCTTACAAGCCTGATTGGGCTGATTGTCTGCAGAGCTATCCAGGCTCCTATATCAGCATGGCCAGCTTCTGCTGCCATTTTAACCCCAATTGCAGATCAAGGAATGGTTGGAATCGGTCCATGTTGATTGCTGTATCATTTAGCTAGTGCAGTGTGAAAATTAAGGACAAAAAGAAGACCTCGTGGGAAGTTGAATAGGTGTGTGTGTGTGTGTGTGTGTGTGTGTGTGTGTGTGTGAGAGAGAGAGAGAGAGAGAGAGAGAGAGAGAGAGAGAGAGAGAGAGAATGAGTGCAGGGGACTTGTTCCAGAAAGTTATTTTCACTATCTTCCTGGTCTGGGGAGTGACAGGAGCTGAGATCTTGGGAGAATTTGGGTGGGGGGAGCTGTTTTGTTAGTGGCTTTTGTGTTGTCATATTCTGAAGAGGATCTTGAAGCTATAGATCCGTTGTCCCTGCAGTGGGGAGATGGGAGTAACTCCTCCTTTGTTCCTCGGCTTTGTTGGACTTGTAGGCCCCAGTATCATTATGGGAGCTGGCCCATGTTCTTTTCTTGCCTCTGGATGGCATTTTTAGGTCATGGGAATAAGTTAGAGGGGTGAGATGGTAAGAGCTTATTTTAGGAGCTGTTGTTTCATCACCATCTTGGCTCCTCCCCTAAAAGCCCCAATCTGATGACCTTCCAATTTGTTCTGACAACAGTGCTCCTAGGGAGCCCATTCAGCAGCACAGTACTATTATTAAATTTGGGTGCTACCCAAAGCATTAGTGTGCAGGTCAATAGGTCTGCACACAATGAATAGTGTTCATTTATTCTTACAATCTGATGCCTGCTTGGTCTTTGGTTTGTTTTAAATCAGTTACTAATCCATAATAATATATCAGTAATAAAAGGAATGTATGTTATCAAACATAGTTCTTTCAGTGCCCATATTTGGCACGGAAGAATAATTATACTGTTTTCCTCTTTTGAAGCTATACTATATACAAGGCTGGAGATCTACCACCTTCATCTAGGGTCTGACAGTTTTATTGCCAATATTTAATTTAATCTTATTTGGATGTAAATTTCTCCTACAAATATTTTATCTGCAGAGGTTTTTGTGAAGGGGTGGTGGTGGTAAAACCAGGAAATAACTGCTGTTGAACTTATAAAAAGGCATTGTGAAGAAAATATACACATAACAAGGATAGCACAGACTCGTAGTAAGATTTTAAAAATTAGTTGGTATTGTTTTGTTCTATACAAATAATGAAACTATTTAATGGTCCATAAAATAACTCCAAGAGTTAATTTAAATCATTCTTTAATGAGAATGATTTAACTGCCCAAAGGTTAAGTGGACTATATCACTAACCAAATAATCTATGTAAAGAACATTCATGGGTTCAATCCTTAGATCTAGTCAGTCTTCCCAGATAAACCAGACAGGAAACAGGATTGGATGAACTAATTCTATTTTATTGTAAGGCTGCGTTAACAGAATTTTGCAAGTCTATAAGCACAAACTTCCCGCCACAATCCCTTTTAATTGTTTGATCCTTTAGTGTGGGTCCTTTCTAAGTTTCTTCTTCTGACTGTTAAGACACTGTTAAGATTCTGCCTCTCGTCTTACTGTTTCCTAGGCAGAATCTTTTCCCCTCTTTCCCCAACTTTTCCACTTTCCATTTACAAATATTTTAAAATGCTGTGATTAAAAAAAACCAGTAAAATCATCCATCCTAAAACATAACTGATAAAATTATGAACAAATAAAAACATTTAAGATTAGATGAAAAGAAGAGAGCCAGACACAAGGGGGGAGGAATTAAGTTTAATTAGTTAAGATTAATTTAGATTTTATGGGTGCTTGTTCCCACTAACTCCAAAATTATTTTTCCACTCTACAAAGAATATAAAATTGACTTGTTTGATCAGGAATAAGATAATAAGTACTTTTATTGGAAAACCTTTATGGACATTTTGCTGAAAATGAACAGAAACGAGCTGGTTATTTCTGGATCTGATGACTGAAAGAGACTGAAGAAGCAACTATGTAATATAATTTTAAGTGGGATGGAATGATACTAAGTTTGTTCCTGCTGTAAAGAAGTTCAGAAGTCACTTCTTTAAATGTCTTTTTCTTTTTCTGTACTTTTACCTTTGTCTTTTCTTTCTTAATCTCATTTTCTGTACTTTTTTCATGTTTATCTTTTGCGTGTGTAAAAATCTCTAAAAATATATTTTAAAAGGATTACGGAAAATTGAAATTTAAAATGTACCAAGGTGAAATTGTTGAATTGCAGAGTGTCTGCAAATTCCTCCCTTTGAAACTGTCAGATTGCATATCCAATCTGGTCAAATCAAAGCATATCCATCCATCCATCCATTGAAAGCTAGTAAAATGAAAAGGCCATCAGCAGTACCCTGGTTCCATTTTTATTTCCAAACATGCCCTATAAGTTCCCACAAGCATTCCAAACAAATAATTAAACAAAAGATATGCTGTTTCATCTTCATTCTTTATTGGGAACATGTTCATCTGTCCAGAGAAAAGATAAAGGGTAATTTGATATTATAGAGGGCCCAAAGGATGAACGCATAAAAGGTACGGCAACCTCAATCTACTGGTAAGGCTTTGCTCACTATGGCTGCCATTTTGTAGCAATCAGAGCACCCCTCCCACTACATGACCATTATTATTAAGTCCCAATACATTGAGTGACTAAATAATGGGAAAAGCTGTTTTTGAGCATCCATTATTTGTCTCCAAGGATGGAATCAAGTAATTTTCCAAATATTTGTGTGGGGGGAACACCTGCCCCATTAACTAACTCTAACCAGTTATTAAAATTAAAACTCTGAAGCAAAAATGGAGAGCTGTTATCCTAATAATAAAAAAAGGAGTTCTGTGAAGATTTTGGAATGATGTATGAGTATCTCAAAATGTTTCTCACAAAATAAAATCCAAGCAATGCTTATTAATTCTAAACAACTTCACACTGTTACAAGAAAATTCTCACACCCAAGTGGACACATTAGTGCAACATCCACCATGTTTTTGGCATTTCTGAATCTATAAAAATTAGTTGTATGTCAACGCAGGAAAAAAATACATAAAATACAGCAATGACGGCCTCACTTATGGTAAATTTGTAGGGAAAGATACAGAGATGGCTACATTGAAACATATTTTAATGTATTTCAAAGTAAAGTTGATACATCTGGGACAAGACTAAAAGTGGATTTTCTTTTGTATAAGCTGAAACAAAACAAAGGCAAACCTTGGGGGAAAGATGAGACCTGGAATGAAATACAATTAAAGTAATAAGAAATAGTTACATGTTAAGAAATCATACAAACTAGAAAATGTAGCCTCCTAAAGAACTGCATATTTAATTATCATAAATAGCAACTAACTGAAAGAGGAGGTATTTCTTCTACCTAGAACATTGTTTATAGGACATAAGTATACTTCTAAATAAGTGGTATACAGCAAGCAAAAGCCAAGCAAAAGAAGATTTTCTCTTCACCTACTGTATAATTCTAGGTAAAATATTGGCAGTTTAATCCAAAATCCCCAGATGCTCTGTGTCTTACAATCAACATTTTCCAGTTTGCTTCATTGGCACCATGAAGGACATTACCCCGACTCAGCTCACAAGATCAGAAATCAGATTAAACGTAGTTAAGCACCAATACAGGCAACTAAAACATACATGGGCACTCCCCATTCCAAAGATTTTCCTGTACCTTTTGGTGCATTGATATGGACATCCAATTGAAAGGTCATAATATTATATATGAAAGACAGAGGGCTAGATGCGTTGTTATACAGTACGCTGATACTCTATGTGAGTTTATAGATGTTATCATGAGTTTTAATTCTGCATGTGGAATATACAGTATGGATGGACAAATCTATCAAGTTCAGTTTGTTGAACCTGATTTTTTTCTTCCAGGTTTGCATCACCGTATATAAAGTTTGGTGCACTTCTTCATATGTATACACTTTGGTTTGCAATGTTGATTAATGCAGAGCTTTTGCAAAAAAGAATTCTTTGATAGATTGAATTTTTGCATATTGTATATTGGACATTTGTACAGTATAGTTCATTAGTGTATACCCCAAGTGACTCTTCTGTTTTGGTGATGTGGGAGGATGGATAAGGAAATGTAATCTTCCTTTCCAGTAAATGCAGGTCATTCACATTCAAATGTGAACAAAATAGTTCCTTTTTCATTTTGTTTGATTTCTAAACTCCAGAAGTCTATGGTGTATCTGTCCATGACCATCATCAATTGAAAATGCCAGCAATGTATACATTTTATTTCATTTATTAACTTAAAAATGTATTGACTGCCTGTGGACTTTAAATAAGTGGCTTAGCTTATTAATTTCCACATGTATATGGAACTAGCAAAGTGAGAACTGAGACCTCAATATTCCTTGAGTTGGGTGAAATTTCTAATCAATGCTTGCATTTTCTTTCTGTTTCTGGCTGCAGTGAAACAGAACGGTACTTACAATTCTATTTTATAAATGAGTGGACATGTCTGATGCTGTAAACGTTATCTACTTGTAGAACAAGTATTCTCTCTACTCTCTTTAACACTGTACAGATGGAAAGAAACAAAGTTGTACAGACTGTTAACAGAATATAAAGATTGGCATAAGCTACAATTTACTGAGCATAATGTTTTACTTCATGAGCTCGTTTAATTCTTGTTAAATCCTACATAAAAATATATTGATGTGAATATTTAAACATTAATTCAATTGCCTTTCCTACCATATTCATCTGAATTATTTCTGCTTCTTCATCTAATTATTCCCACAAGTTATGCGAAACCAGTTTGAGTATTTAAATATCATAAATCAGATCCTAGATGATACACTCCACTAGATGTTTTGGCTTCCCTTTTTAACAATTGTTCATCCTGAACATGAAAGGGTTGGACTTACAGTTCCTGTTTTACAGTTCTTTATAAGAAATTTGTGTTTTGAAGAGTGCTGTCATCATTAAAAAGACGGCAGTTCCAGTTCTTGCCAGCTAACTTGAAAAGTTGACAGTACAAACTTGACACTTTCCTTGCCAAGTAAATGTCTCTGTGCAGCAGTCGGGAAATTTGGTTGTAAACCCCCCATTATTCCAACTTTGACACATGTTTACTTTGTGCTACCGTGTCACCTGCAAGCAAAGGAAAAGAGAAATGAGAGAATTATACATATAAATATCGCTGCTGGTAATTGGTTTTTAAAACCTCTTCAGAAAGTTTAAATATGCAGAATGAAGATAAAACACATACAAAGATAAAACAAGTACATTATCCTCACAGACAGATCTTTGCGGTAGCATCTGAGAGAACCAATGGCTTCAGAAAGAGGTGAATTTTAACCTGTGGGCAAAACCTGTGATGATGCTAGACGTGTTGCAGCAATAGTAGTAGTCCAAATACCAAATACTGGGAGATTTCAAGCAAGAATACTGATAACTCAATGCTTGGAGGGTGCTTCAATTAAAAGTCACACATCCATTTTTCCTGAAGATTGGCAATTTATGAACGTCAACTAGGACAACGATCCCCAACCTTTTTGGCTTTTCGGACCAGCGGGGTGGGGGTGGGGGAGAGGGGATGGTTGCATGCAGTGGTGGGATTCAAATAATTTAACAACTAGTTCTCTGCCCTAATGACCAGCTGGGTAGGCATGGCTCGATGGTCATGTGACCATGTGGGTGTGGCCAACTCAACGTCACTCACGTCGATGGGCACTTCACCTTAGCTGTTACAATGTAATAAGGGTTAACCAGAGAGGCAGTTTCTGTAAGCAGGGCAATAAAGATTAGGCTAGAAACAATACCAGAATGTTTCCTTCCTACCTTCCTTACAGGATTAGACCTGTAAAGTGGAAAAAGCACAAAATAAGATTTCTTCCAACAAGCAGTTCTCCAAACTGCTTAGAAAGTTAACAACCGGTTCTCCCGAATAGGTGCGAACTGGCTGAATCCCACCACTGGTTGCATATGAACGGCAGGTGCTTGTGCACACAGCTCCATTTGTTCAAGGGGCAGGTGCGTGTGCACGCTGCTTCACAAAAGTAGAGTTGCAAGCAAACGCGAGCTCACCCACCACTTGGACAGCCTGGTTCTGAACAAGCCGCAGTCCGGAGGTTGGGGACCCCTGATCTATGGGGATCATATATAATATTGAACCTGGTCTTCAAAACATTTCATGAAAGGAAGAGTGTGCGTGAAGGAAATGGTCCCAATAAACGGAAGAAAGGTAATAGCAGAGTTAAAGGATTGGTAGGACTCTCTGGAATCAGTGAGAAAAAGAACTTTATTCAGACTCTTAGGTAAATGCTGACAAAAGATAAGGAATATCCAAAAGCTTTTAGTTTGTTTCAGATAACTACTTTGGCCTTTAAGCTTTCACAATACATTTTATGTACATTTTGAAACAGCTCAGTTAGTTATGCTCATTGAATGTAAACAATAAAGTACATTCCATTGATTTTTATTTAGTTTTGTAATCTTTTCAAAACTGGCTTATCTGTTTGCTAGAATTTATCTTGTCCAAACAGTTATTGTAAGTATTAACAACATGCAAAAGCATCATTAGTCTTGGTTTGGTAGATGCTTTTCTTTTTCTTTTTTCTCATCAAATGACTTTTTCAGGTCCACACTGCAGCTGAGAGGAACAAGTTCCTTTTAAAGAAGCTGAAGCCTTCCTTGCTAAAAAGCTTTGAACGACTTTTCAAATACCTAATCATTTCTAAGGAGATTTCCATGTATTATCCTGAGAATAATACTCTCATTTCCCTCCCATCCCTGTCATACCAAAGCTTTCACTGTTGATGGCACAATCTATATAATCAATATACAAAGTGGATGCTCACTCTGTCTGGCTTTCACACCCAAGTTAACCATTTTCAAACTAGTTTTAAAATTAATACTGCATAAAGTATATCAATATTAGCTTTTCTATCATCATCAGAGTTTGAAAACTTTCATAAAAACTGGTTACTTGCATTAACTGGCTCCCATGGATTGTCCTCGTTTTTTTCTGAGTAAATTCATTATTAAATGGACTCTATTTGGAAATCCTACGTGGTGTAACTTCTGAACCTGTACACCAGGGGTGTCAAACCCAAGGCCCTTTGGCCGGAGCTAGCCCACAGAGTGCTTAGGCCTGGCCCACAGGGCTGCCCTGAAAACAGCGAAGGACCGACTTGCGGTGCCTCTACCATCAAAAATGGTGCTTGCGAGGGCTGCGCGAGGGCCTCCAGAGCTCCATTTTCACTGGCAGAGGGTTGCAGGAGGCCACTGCAACCGAAAATGGAGCTCGAGAGCCTGTTTTTGCTGGCAGACCACTCGGGCAACCACAGGCGCCGACACGAGTGACATTGAGCTGCCACCCAGCCCAGCCCCTCAAAGTCAAACATAATCCTGATGTGGCCCTCAATGAAATTGAGTTTGACACCCTTGCTGTACACCATGGTGATATTATTCACAATCTAAATAGTTATTCATATTTCAATCTGCTAACAAGGGTACTCGCTTCGCGGACTATGATTCCCCATTGACAAAGGGATACTCACACCAAGTTTTATATTAGAATTTGGTTTAAGTGTTCAGCAACCCTCAGAAATATCCGAGTTGTACCAACACCTGCAATTTGCACATAAGGGATCTCTTCTATGTTGCCCTGGTGATTCTGAATGGAGTTGTGCAGGAGCTTTGGGCATCCAAAGAATGATAATATCTACCCTGATAATATTCAGGATACCTATAATTACAACAAAAAAATTAAGTACCAAGAGCCCATATTGATACTTCTCCAGGGCAGAGACCTAGAGAAGTGTGGAATAGTGACTCCATCTTTTCACAGCATCACCCTCTGCTGGTGTGACATTCAACAAGCTAGTAAATAGATTTCCTCATCCATGATACTCATCAAGTTTACAATCATTTACTGCTCAATTAAGGGACTTGCTCCAGCCCGTTCATCATTTTATTGTAGGTGTTTGCAACTGTTCCTAGAATGGAATGGAATGGAATGGAATGGAACCGTAATGGCGAACCTATGGCACGCGTGCCCAAAGTGGCCCAAAGTGGCATGCGAAGCCATATCACCTCCACATAACCTTTTCGACACTTGGTGCTGAAAAGGTTCGCCATCACTGGAATAGAATAACAGAGTTAGGAGAGACCTTGGAGATCTTCTAACCCAACCCTCTGCTTAGGCACGAAACCCTATTCCATTTCAGACAAATGGCTGTCCAATCTCTTAAAAACATCCGATGTTGGAGCATTCACAACTTCTGGAGGCAAGTTGTTCCATTGATTAATTGTTCTAACTGTCAGGAAATTTCTCCTTAGTTCTAAATTGCTTCTCTCCTTGATTAGTTTCCACCCATTGCTTCTTTCTCCTACCCTCAGGTGCTTTGGAGAATAGATTGACTCCCTCTTCTTTGTGGCAACCCCTGAGATATTAGAAACACTGCTATCATGTTACCTCTAGTCCTTCTTTTCATTAAACTAGACACACCCGGTTCCAACAACCATTCTTTATATGTTTTAGCCTCCAGTCCCCTAATCCAGTTGTGGGTTCTAACCGGTGTTACCACTCCAAAGCATGGAGCATGCTTTGCGCATGCTCTGTGCTGTTGTAACGTCAAACAGTCACTAAACAAATTGTTGTAAGTCAAGGACATCCTGTAAATCATGCTTTACTATGGTTGTGTTCACACGACCTGCTAAGCCGAAACTAAATAATATTGTGGCTTAGAATAAAGACTGATTCAAGCCAAAGAGGTAGAAAGTAGATAGGAATGGGCGAGAATGTCATGCATTTAATTCCAAGAATCCATTCATCTATTTGCCTTCTAAACTACTTTTAAAAATAGATAGAAATGTGCATTCAACTGCATTTTTATGCACTGTTCCATTATCTGGATGTTGTATACATACTGATAAGGAGACGAGGCCTGTTCTCCCTTGCCTGTTCTTTTGCACAATCCAATTGAAAGACCCACTTAGGCCACTGAGTCCTGCTCTATGCAAGATTTCAAATCAAAACGCCCAAGAGAGAGGCTTTCTTCTTTAAAAATTTAAAACACAGCACCTGCCATCCAAGATAAAAATCTTTCTGACAATGTGCAAGTGTATTATGCTGTGGTCTTCTATTCTGGTTGGTAAGATATGGCTGTCCTGCTGGAGCTTGGAGGTCAGCCAACTTACAAAATATTGGCCAGGGAAGTAGTAATCCTTCTGCGTGCTTTCACTTAAGCCATGGATTTTTGAGCTACTGAAACTCATCTTTAATTGTAAGTGCAAAAGAGGAGATGGGGAGCAGAATGCTTGTTACCCTTACGAGTTTTACCCCCTCTGCTATCCATTTATCTTCCATCTATAAAGAGGTGTGTTTGTTTCTGTATGGATCTGTGTGCACAGGTGTGTGCAGGTGTGCGTGCGGGATTTTCTGAATGGAGAGGTGCCTTTTGCTAATGAGCTGCTTCTGTTCTCTTAGTTAGCACAGAAGGGATCTGAGCCAGTTCATTCATCGTTATACCTACACGAATTCACAGTGTGAAAGGAAGCTTAATGTCTTATCTGAATATCCCTGCCCCTTGTTTTTTTCTTTTCCAGCGAAAAGCATACTGAGATACCAAGAAGAAAAATAGGGGGAAAAGCCTCATCACAGGCAAATTAGCAAATTAAAGATACTTGCAGCACCTTTGGGTGCAATGCCAACCCATTAAGATCAAAGTGGAGCTTTGCCATTGACTTCACTGGGACGCAGATTGCACACTCGGGGCTCTCTTCTTTGAAGAGGGGAGTTAATAGCTTGTTACTTTAATGAAGCAAAGCCAGTTTAAGGGCACTCCCGGGTGCTAATTCAGCACAGTAGTTAATCTCAAACTGTAGATGTGCACAAAAGGCCAAATCAGACTTGGAATCTAGATTCACACTTGTGGAGGAGGAGAAAGTCCTTATGCTCATCTGCATTCTATGTAGGTCTGCCAGGTCTTTGGCCCCTGGTTTCTGGTGACTTCCCTACGTGTTTTTAATCACATGTCCAACAGCACGAGAGGCTACCAGTGATGGATCGTTGCTCCACCCAGTCTGTGTAATAAGTGGGCTTGAAACCGTTACTATTTTCATTGTCGTCTTACCTTACGTGTGCG